ATCATTATTAATAGACGCCTTCAGAAAATAAAAAAAAAATAGTCTTAAGATATGTTTAATGAGGTCCCTTAATGCTTAATTAGTGGTCTAGCTGCTACTTTAAACTTCATTAATCAGTAGATCTTGACAAATAAAGTAGCCTTCCCTTGTTTTTTTTTTAAATTTTTGTGGATGAAATATCACAAACAATAAACTTATTTGTATTCCATAACACAAACCACACACATATATCCTCATCCAATACATCACACTAAAATGGAGAGGAAATTAAACAAGTCGACATGATCAATACTTATTTAGTAATTTTGTGACACAAGCGGTTCACAAAACCATAATTATTCGTAGATCATATATTTTTTGAAATAACGTTTTAGTTGTTATCCCACCAGAATTGTGATTGGAGGTAATCCACAACTTTGTTCTCAACTTGGAATGCTTTGGCGAGGACATCAAATTTCTTTAAAAAATTAAGTGGCGACTCTTTCTAAGTATTTCCGAAATTGTTTTATACTTAGAACATTTCAAAAAGTGATTTTTCTAAAGGTTAGTTAAATTACGGCACGACATCCATGCCAGATGCTACTTCAGAAGAACTCTTTTGGGGAATTGAATTGATAGTAGAACCTTGTTGTTGTCCGCCTTGTCCCTCCATTTTGTTATTTTTTGTTCTTCATTCTTGGGAGAGGAAGAATATATATAGGAAAAAATTTATGAGGTAGGGTTGGGGTGGGGTGGGTTGGGGTGGGGGATGCATGTGCGGCAGATTGAGACCGTACGGGGCATAATCAATACGAGCTAAAGAAATGCCTAGAGTGTTCAATCCTGATAAGTTGTTTACATTCACAGGAGTTACTGCAGATCCAACTTTATTTGAAGTATTTCCAGGCTTATTCAGACCCGATTTAAAGAAATCCTCCGCCACAACAAGTTTTGGATCCTTGCAAAATTTTCCGTTCACAAAAACTGCCAAAAAGAAGAAGTTTTAATTACTCAACAAATTAATGTAGAAAATTAAAAAAAAAGGGTAAAAAAATCATGTTTATAATTTGGTAATTTACCAGCATTCTTAGAGTCATCAACAGCTACACAAAAATCCTGAAGAGGGCTAGGATCAGATGCATGGCTCATTGATGATAATACAGCCATTATGGCAATGGCTAATATTAAAGACTTGAAAGCCATTGTTACTTATGAAATGATGTTTTGTTTAGTTGGTTTTTGACAAACTTAATAAGAAAAACCTCCTATTTATAGATGATTATTTGTTTAATTTGGTCGTTAATTTCCCTTAAACAAATACATTAGACTTTGGCTTACCAAGTCATCAACAGTAAACTTTATTAAACGCTTGATTATTAATTGAAGCTGCTATTTCTTCAACAACTACAAAAAACCAAATCGTATTTACCTACGTACGCGTTGAGAAATTAATATTTGATACTCCCTTTGTCCAGATTATGTGACATATTTTGTTTTCGAGAGTCAAACAATTTAAGTTTGACAGATAATTTACTCGTGAAATCTTCAAATTTTTAAAGTAGGTACTTGTCGATCTAATTGTGGAAAGGACAAGAAAAGAAAATCCCCTTAAAGATATTAAAGAACTTTTTCTAGGAAAAATTCACGTAATAAATTACAATATTATTATTTAAACCTTTTTATACTATCCGTATAACTTAACCCAATGTAACAAGCTGTCTACCTTAGCTTAGTTTTTACTAATTATGGAATGTAAAGTTCGAAATCGATCACATTTAATCAATTAATCTTGTCCAAGAATACCAACAGATGTAGTGCAACACATGAGGTTGATCTTTCCTCATCAGAGTCTTGAATTTGAGTTTTCTAAGTATGGAGAAATTCTTGGTAGAAAGTGTTTTCCCCCGAAATGAGATTGTACGCGATGTAAATTCAAATTAGTCAGATTCTAAGGCAAAAGTCGGATACTGGATGAAATAAAATAAAATAATAGGGTGTTATAATATTAATGAAACAACCTATTTCTTAGGTGCCAGCCTTGATGACTTAATTTTTCCCACTTACTTAGTACCAACTTGTAATGTCTTAGTCATGAGATATTGATCATCAGGAACAGGAACTGGCAATGGCCGCCGGAACTTTTACAATGTTTATTGCGATAAAAATAGTTTTGCGATAATAAATTTGTACATTAATAAAGAGTTATAAAGTCTTTATATCATTAGTTAATTATAATTGGATTCAATGTTGTTATAAGTTTTAAGGGGGTAAAACTTACCCGCATCGGGTGTTTACACCAAGCCAATACATGCATGCCATGTGTTTAAATTTATAGTTCATTTTACTTAACCATAATGTTTTACTTCATTAAATCACATAATAATGGAAACTACTTTGGCTTGGTGTAAACACCCGGTGCGGATAAGTTTTTTCCGTTTTTAAGGATATTTACAAAAAATGTTAATTGCTTCTAAAAATATATTTATAACAATAAATAAGTTATTGTTGTTACATATCATTTTTAATGTAGTGGTTGTAATAAATAATGTGTACAATAATATGTTGATTTTAATTTCTCTAAAATCTTCATTGGTAGTAGTATTAAACTACTGTACTAATTAAGTTTAAAGTATATTTAAGTACTGATCACTACGTTGGAATTTGCACGCAAGATTATTTTTTTAAGTAACACCATTCATATTTATAAAAAAAAAACTGTCATTGCAATTTAAATTACAGGAGTAATAATTGAGAATATAGCTATATACAATGAACAATCACCCCTTTTTATAATAATCATCATTAATAATAACGTTTTACTATAAGTCAAGTTTTATTTGAAATAAACTTTCATATTATGTTATATTACGTTATGCATTCTTTATATATAATAGCAATTTGTTATAGCAACTAAAGAATATTTGGATAAACGATTCTATTACAATTTTTTCTTTTTAACTATTATAGGGATCTTCTTCACCTGCATTTGTTACTCTGACGTCGGTGGGCCACGAGGTGGCTTTCTAATAACATAAAAAAAACACGATACGCATTAATAAGGACGGATGATTCAAAATATAATGAAGTAAATGTGTAAAGAATTAAGTACACCAGATGCAATATCTATGAGTAATGACCCACATATTTATTCATTCAATTTATTTAATTTGGCATTTAAAATTAATCTAATTTTGGCTAAATATAACGTCTAAATTAATTTATGAAAAATCTTTGTTAAAATATATTTTAAATTTTATTTAGGTTGATATGTTAAATATGTAACATAAAATAAAAATGTAATTTTTTGTTAATTTTTGTTAAGTATTAATAAAATAATAAGAAAGATAAATATTTTCTTTTAGAACTTGATAAGAATTGAACGAATTATATTATGTCTTTTTATTTAGTCCATCTTAAACCAATGTATCTCAGTTTCGGTGATCATCTTTGGACAAACAAACTAACGACTTGTCCATTTATTGACTCAATATTTCACCTTTTTAAAGAAAAATAAAAATAAAAAATTGATTCAGTCTTTCACAGTTGACGTCCTTATTTATTTAAGGGCAAACCACATAAATCCCACTAGTTTAGGTCTTAATTATTAAGATTCCCAATAGTTTCAAATATTACTTTCTCTATCATATTTTATGATTAGGATGCATGAGTCTGAATCCATGAGATACATGTATCTGTCGAATTTTAAAATTGAGATACAAAATTTATTTATTTAAATTAATTGGTTGTAACTTATTTCCTTAATTAGAGGAGTAATTGAGGATTTTCAAAATACATAGATAATTAATTTCATTTTATTATTCTTTGAAATAGTAAATTCATTAATATTATTAATATAAGATAAAAACATGTAAAGCTTGGTAATGCATTTGATTAATTTCAAATTATTACTCTTAAAA